CTTATTCCACTGAGCCATCTCCCCAGCCCTTTTCAATACTTTAATAATCAGAAAAAAGAGGTGGAATTAACAATCTGAAGAGAGACTTAGTTCTGTTGTCCCACATCTGTCCAGCTTCCTCTCCTCTGTTCACCCTCCACATCTTCTCTCCTCAGTTGTGGTCCCAGCCTGGCCTTCACCAGTTGGTTCTCTCCCACTGAAGCTGCCCCCTCACACCAAGTGTAGCAGGCACAGAACAAATGCTTGCTGGTGAACACACCAGGAGCCAGGCTCTAGCCCATCCAGCACTGGCTCCCGAGCACTCACCCTAAGGCATCCCACCTTCCCACTCTACACCCTCACTCCACTCTGCCTTCTCTCTATCGTCTCATCTGTCCCCATGCACCCTGTCTACATACAAGACCACGATCAGACCCGCCCTATGTCTAGAATGGCCATCTGGCTCTGTTTGCAGATTTCGCAATAGGGATGTAGGGACAGTCATGGCTGTTCAAGTTCCTGGATGAGGCAGTGACACCAGCAAAACAACTGCTTGTGTCCCGACCACAGCAGCGGCTCCTGTCCCCAAAGCCCTGGGCTGAGTCTCTGGTTCCTGAGATCCAGAAGGAGGAGCATATTTCCCAACAGACCAGCCTCCCTCTTCTACACTCACATCTTCAGGGTTGACATTGCCCAGCTTCTGCAGCACAGTCAAGTAGAACTTGAAGAAGAAGCTGAGAGTGAGGGTCCGCCGGAAGTCTACCATGCCACCAGGGGCATTGGGCTCCAGGTGCAGCTCCTCTGCCAGCTCTCTGCACACATCCTGCAGGAGCTCCTCATTCCAGGACCTGTGGGGAGCAGGGCTTTCACTGTGGGGGCACACCTCCTCCTCCCCCCATGAGGGAGGAGCGCCAAAACCCTGACCATGGAGCCAGGCAAACTTAGCTGCAAAATTTGGCTGAGATGCTTACAATTTACACGACTGGAGGTACACTGTTTGACTTCACTGTTTGACTTCCATAGGCCTTAGTTTCCTTATATTTAAGAGTAGATACAATTTTTACAAAGCACAAAAATAGCTAAATCTATTGAGTCCTTACAAAGTCTAGACAATGTTGGAAGTGCTTTATGAATAGTTGCTTTTAATTTAATTAATAAAGAGGGAAAGCCCTCATGCCCATTGACCAGAGAAAATGTGAGACATAGGGAGATTAAGTAACTGGACTTGTGTCACTCATCTGATCAGAGTTGGAACCAAGAAGCCAAATTTCAAGTTAAACTGGTCTATCCAATTTGTTTATTATAAAGATTATATAAGATAATCTCATTAAGAGATTGCTAGCACATAGTAATAGGATTAATAATAAATAAAATTCTACTACTCTTATTAATGGGAACAGCAGAAGTACTACTGGTAGTAACACTAGCAATGGCAGCCACAATAGTAGTGGAGGTAATGAAAGCAATACTAAGTAATAAAGTAATAAAGAAAGGTAACAGTACAAGCAGAAATAGTAATGTAGTAATCAAAGGAGCAATAACGGGGCCAGGGATACAGCTCAAATTCCTGCCTGGCAAGTACAAAGTCCTGAGTTTGATTTCTGGCGCAAAGCAAGCAATACTATTACCAAGAACAATGTCAGTAATACTATCCCTTATTGTAGAATTAAAAATAGCAACAGCAATCGTAATACCAGCAACATTAGATAACAATAGTGACAACAGCCATGGTACTGCTTCTAGTGGAGGTAGCGAGAGCAATGGGGGTAGTAGCAATAAGGGAGGTGACTGTAGTAGCATCAATGATGGTATTAGTACAAATACTACAAGAACCAAGAGTAATCGTGTCATTAATAATCACAGTATTGAAGAGGCAACAGTAGCATTAGCAACAGCATAGTAGAGATAGTATCAGAACTCATGTTTATCATATTAGTGACGTTAGGAGAAATAACTAGTTATAATAGTTATAACTAGTCATACTAGTTATAATAGTCATAATAGT